TAAAGGTGGGTTGGAATGCATCGGTACCACAATGTATCGACAGTGAACCACCAACATTCCATAATTGTCCAACAAATCCGGTTTATATTCTAACAGATGATAATGGACAACTTTTACCAGCTATTTATGAAGTACCAACTGCAGCTGATAATTCCGGATCAATAGCATATATACGTGTAACACCGGATGGTTTTGAACCACCAAAAATGATTTCACATGATATGGATATTGTTTATGTAGCATTTGATGATGCTGGTAATACAGCAAAATGTACTGTACAACTTCGAATACCTGGTATAATTATCTCTAATAGCTATTTTTCTTTCCCTTTTTTTTTTCTTCCATTCCACAAAAATTATATTTTATTAGAATAAAATTTCTAAAAATAAACAAGTAAACAAATTTATTAAGTAAAATATAGATGAGCTATATAATATAAGCACCGATATTATTTTTCTTTTTTAGATACACAACCACCTGTAATGAAATGTCCTGATTCATATATTGTTCCGGCTAATGATGGCGAATTTGAAAAATTAATTACATTTAACGAGAGTACAGTACAAATGGTAATTCAGGATACCTCTAATATTACGGATGTAACATTTGAACCATCTGAAGCTTTGCTTACTCTTAGCTCACATGTTACAGTTGAAGTTACCGCTACTGATAGCGCATCAAATCGGAATAAATGCAAATTTCAAGTATCTCTTCAGGGTTAGTACTATCATTTATATGTATATTTTTTATCATCATTCTTTTGTTTATTATTTATTATTATGTTAATTTTTATTTCTATTAATTTTTTTAAAACAATCAAAATTACCTGAAAAAAAATCAAAAATAGCTTATCATTGCGCATTAAAATAAATAACATAGCATATCTTAAGAGAGATTAGATTTTTTGGTTTTTCTTTTTTTTTCAATTTACTAAGAAATTGATAATATATCATCTATGTTTAGAACTAATTTTTTTATTGTTGAATTTTAATCTTATTAAATTTGAGTTGAATTGAGAATTGAAAAATCAAAAAGTTGGGAATTTGAGAAGCTCTCATAACTGTTAACGAAGCAAAATGAAATGTTAAAAGTTATCATATCATATTTTAAAATTGTTAAATTTAAATATTAAAATTATAGCAAAACCATGTTCTTCATGGTCATTGATTGGTGAAGAAAATGTTGAAAAAGAATGTCAAATACAAGGTATCTCAACTATTTGTACTGCTAAATGCGCTAGAAGGTTCACGTTTGTTAATGAACGAAATGCTACGCAACAATTTACGTGTACCAATGGTATATGGTCACCATCAAATGTAATACCAGCATGTGTACCGATTGCTTTAGAACCAGCACGTTATGAATTAAC